TTACCGAGCCAGTTTTAACCTCGGAGGTGACGACAACTTAAAAAACAACGCAAAAAATCCAGATTTAGTCAATTTTTTAGTATCAATGTCAAATAACTTTTTAAATAAGAGTCGGCAGCAAATTTGGAAATTAGATTCGGAATCAGCGAAAAATTCTGCACAAGATAGGCTTGGTCCCATTCTAAAACGCCAGCCTGAGTAAAAACACTTTACAGTTAGCTGTATATTGCAGCATTTAGCTGTTAAGGCACGTGGCGTAATACCGGCCCCTAGGCAATACCAACTCCAAAATTTCCCGCGGCAGCGCTGTCGCTTCGTTAATGTCTCAATTTTGTTTGAAATAATGTTTCGGGGCCGCCTCGCAAAAAATTTTTTTGGTTACGTCCCTGGTTGTTAGTATCCCGGATTCCCACGCACCTAAGCAGTGATTTTTAGGCAGACCCAAAAACGAACGACTTCCAGTGGTCGGATGGTACGAAATTCGGTTATACCAATTGGACCCCTGGCAGACCGTCAACGAACGTTGAGCCGCATCTCTATGTGCTGGTATGGAGGCTATGTACATCTATAATACAACGCTTTTTAGATGGTGACGGCGCGATTCAACTATACGTGAGTGAATCTACACCCATTCGTTCCATTTGTTTCTTATTGTTAACGGGTTTTAGCAAGGAATCGTTCATCAACTATTCGCTCTACTTGAACCGGTGGACAAACGTTCGAGAAACTGATTGTTATACCGCAGTCTGCAAGAAAAGGGCCAGATATTAAGCCCCTGGACCGTAGACCTTCTACAATAACATCGTATTCGAGGTTCCGAGCCCAAATTAAAGGGATGCCGACGGCATCGTCAATCGGTTACGCGCTGGAAAGAAAATGTCTCTGCGCCTCTCCCCTGGGCGCGCTCTCTCCCCTGTTGGCTACTTGCCAATTTGTTGATGGGGGGATCGACACCATGCCGTCGGCAGCCCTTTAAGGCACTTGCCTTCGACAAACCACGTGTTTATTTTTGGTCAATACGAGCTAGTTGTGTAATTTGTCCCGATCCCCCGCATAAAATACATTGGTATCGCCTTCACCTTCTAAGTCAAATGACAGCAAGCAAGTTTCCAGTTAATAGTCATTGTTGCAACTTGTTGAAATGTTTCGGTTGATCATAAATCCTTGGGCTCCAGGGGCGTACGAGGGGGGGGGGGCAACAGGGGCAAGTTGCCCCCCCCAAATTGGCCGAAGGCCGAAAAGTTGATAAGGGGGGACCCTTATGATTTTTTCAATAAAAATTTTTCTGCCTGCGGCGCTGTGTATTACTATTTTTAAGACGGTTTTTACTTCTATGAAGCCTATTTTCCAAATTTTTTTTTGCCCTGCGGCGCTGTTTTTCATTAGTGTGTCAACTGTCCATATAAAATTTTCGCCTGCGGCGCGTTTTCTGTGATGTTTTTACATGAATTTCAGCGTTTCTAACGCTTTTTCCTTATTTTTTTTGCGGCCTGCGGCGCTGTTATAGCTGCAATTTTTGGATGTTTTGAAAGTGGTGACCGGGGGAGGTCGACAAAAAATTTTCGAGTTGCCCCCCCCAAAAATCGGGTTCGTGTACGCCCCTGTTGGGCTCCCTTGAAATATAATTCGCAGCCATAAGCTCCGCCTGCCAAAAAATAGTCGTACGCGTACCAGTACCCGGAATATTCATCGAAAAGGAGCAGGCAGTCATCTGGAAGAACCGTACTAGGGAAACCCGAATAAACCCGGACTTAGAATTAGCTGAATATTTGCACACAAATAGAATCGATTACGCTGATCATCACCTCGTTATCCAAATTTGCTACCGATCTTTAAAATCGTCAAACTCTGAGCCCGATTATTTTGATCTTCCCGGCCGATTGTGCAAAAACAAATATCGCCATTGTATTCAAAAATTTTTTCTCTTTTGAATGAGCCTTCCAACACTAAATTTTCGAAAACTCGAAAAATTGGAAAAATTTACGGTATGGCCGCCGATTTTTGTATGGGAAATAGTGAAAAACAGCCTACTTCAAGCAGTTGTAAGACGTCGTCTAGGCCAAGCCTACCTGAATGAAATCTACCATACGATTCAGAAAAAAATCCTCTATCAGATAGGCTACTTCAAATAAATTAGACCCTTAACCTAAAAACACGCGGAATCATAGCAAAACACTTATCGGGGTCGAAAATCGACACTGAAACCTCAATATCTCGCGTTTTAAAGATTAGTAGCAAATTTGGACAACAAGGTGATGATCAGCGTGGTCGATTCTATCTCTGTGCCAATTTACAGCTAATTCTAAGTCCGGGTCTATTCGGGCTTCCCTAGTTAGAAACAAGCTCATAATCCACGAATTTAAGTGTTGACAAAGAAATCGGGCGAAAAGAATGGCGCGTGCAAACGAAAACAGGGACGGCGCTCGTCCCCCAGCAGCCGCCGTCAATTTTTTTCCGAAAATCAATTATCCCTTCCCTTTAGGCTTTGATTTCGTAATTCGGTGCCTCTTTAAGCCACAGCAGCCTCGGGATCTTTGACGTTTCACCGTTTGAAGTTTTTAGTGCTCTCTGCGAAAACGACACCACGCAAAAACATACACATCCCGTTACATTTCCAGGAATCGGGTCTGATGCGTATGAGTCAGTCTGCCTGTAAAGCCATGCCGATTCACTATTGCCTATAAACAATAAACATCAAGCTCACCTAGTCTGTTCGACTCCTATGATTTTGTCTAGTTCCTTATATTCGTTCCAAGACTTCAAGATGGTCCTAAAAATTCTGGTACTTTCGATATTTGCTTTGGCGGTTTGTGGCTATTGTCCAAAAAGACACTACACTGACAGCTGATGGCAACTTCTGCTATTTCGTGAATCCGAAAGCTATGTTCCGCGAAGACGCGATGACATATTGTGCAAAGTAAGGAAACCTAGACTTAAACGCTACCTCACCGGCCACAACTTATTTAGCCTTGGTCTTTCCGGCGCCTCAATTTTGAGCGAGGAAGAAAATGAAGCCGCTTGAAGCAGGGCAGGGCGAAAATGGGGGGTAAGTTTGAGGCGGCTTTTACCATCTTTTTCAGAGCGACGTTGATTGGTTCTGGCTTGGCGGCGTCTATCAGGTTGGAAGGGAAGTCCTGTCGCCGAGATTTTGAGAGGCTGGCTAAAATCGTAGATAGCTCCATTCTGGACAGCTCTCGGCCCGAACCGTTTCGGAAAGGGCCCTAGCCGCCAAAATCAAGGAGGGCCGAGATACAGGCCCAAGAAGTTTTCAGAAAATCACCAAAAAGTGTTTTTGCAAGTTATCTCTGCATAGAGATGTTTGCATACGATACCTTTAACGCCAATCGATAGTTCTCAAGGAGTAGATATCGATGATGTTGAGATCATCAAAATTGGACACTGGATGGCCGAGATATGGCCCCTTCAAATTTGACCGATTTATTAAAACTTTTCCCGATTTCCCATACAGTTTTTCAAAATCCGCTCGGCGAGTCCAAAAATCAGGCGGCAATTTTTGGGATCTGACTGTCAAACGTTTGGAAATGTATGGGATCTCGAGAAAAGTTCTAAGAAATGGGTCATATAATAATGATATAAGGATAGCAGACTCGTTTGGGATGACGGCAAGGGTTCTAATTATTCAAATCTTGCTGATTATGGTATGATCAAGAATCTGGTCCCGGCCTAACGACGGATTTAGTCCAGCCTGTCACTGGTTTTCTCGTTATCCACCTTTCGGATGGGAAATGGGATACGATACCCGGAGCTGCGTTGTTCCCGACAGTGTGTAGGGGCAAAAAGGTATTGCGATAACCTTGATTTCAAAATTACCAAGGTGCAATACGCAAGAACATGCCCATGATGCTAATGTTTTTGTTTAGCCGATAGAGGTGGTCCCTGTGAAGATGGATGGGTGTATTTTTCAACGACAAATGCTTGCTATAAAGTAAGAATTCTTATACCATAATGTAACTAGCTAATTCGACCACAAATGTCCCTTAAAGGGGTCCTTTCAGCAGAAGAAAAAAGTTAGCATGCGTTTTCAGCTAAAGAGCAAGCCCTGGTGAGAGGCGCAGACGCTTCGCATGCAAATTTTTCCACGATTCATGGAAAAAATGAAGCTACTGAAAGTGCCCCTTTAAAGTTATCTGCAACGATCATGAACTTTTAGCTAATCGGCAACTTTTCCGGCTTCACCTGGCCAGAGGCTCGGCTTCAGTGCAAAGGCCTTGGCGCCGATCTTACATCCATCCATTCCAAGGAAGAAAATCGAATTGTTGCGGGTAGATTTATCCCTTTATTTTTTGAAGACAATCAGCTTTTATAGAAATGGCCAACACCTATATTGACCTGCACAATGATGTCGTCAAATATGTCAATGGGCAGACTTGGATTGGGGGTGAAAGGGTAAGTCTATATTTTGCCAATCACAATCGAGATCGCGCTTTTTTATAAAATAGGGGGCAGCCATTCGGCAAAAATAAATTATATAACGTGACCCAGAATGAAATTCGCACTTGGACTATCTTTCGAGACGATTTGCGCGTGACTCGAAAATGCACTCCCTATTAGATTGGACCCGAAATGACGGACTTCATCTGGGTGGATGGGACACCGTTCGACTACACAAACTGGTCTGATGGTCAACCGGATAACTGGCAAAGCCAGAAATACATGCAGGTGCGCGCTAGTTGTTGCGGACTGTAAATGTTCTCTGATTTTCGCCAATTTGCGCAAATAAAAACTTTCAGATCTACACCACCCGATTCAGCCCTCAATACGACAACCGGGACGAGCTGTATCTGAATAAGTGGGACGATCATCGTGCGTCGGCTCGAGGGCGCAGCGCCGTTTGCAAGAAGGCGGCGCGATACTGAACCTATCCTACCGATTGGTCTCATAAAATCTTAAGCCGCATCCTTCAACCAGACCCTCACAAAAATTTGTGTCAAACAGATACGCCAAGGTCACTCGGAAACGTTCTCGTTTTTATTGTATCAAGTGCCTTGAAATTTAGCAGCTTTCTTGCAAACAGCACTGGAACAGAGCGTGTAATCCTGCATATCGTTCCATTGGTTCAAGTACAACAAGGCGTCGTCGACTTGACTCTGGCTGAAACTACAGTATCCAGCCAAAACTACCACAAGCTTACCTAAAGTTGAAGCGTGCTGTGAACATCTGAAAAATTAGATACAGAAACACGTCGCTACTGATGACTTGCCTCGACGTACGGCTGCTCGGTCCTCGAGCCATGCGCCCATATCGCATAGTCAAACTTGGTACCATCAGACCATGTAAAGTTCATTCTTCCGTGTCCTGCCTAAAGAATTGACAGATACTTAACGCTATAAATTTCCGCTTTTTATTTTATTGCTTGATTTTGAAGCCTGACAAAATTTGCGCACCCGTTCCGCCCCAATCCACGTCCCGGCCACATCATACCATATCACCGGCGCCAAAGCGTGGCTGTAGTGATCGGCCAATTCTAATCACAGTCTTATTAAGGTATTCTGTTATCTAAATCACCTGCCACAATCCTGTTTTCATCTGCCGAATGGATAGAAACAAGATCCGCTCCAAGGGCTTGGCAACGACTTCGAGCCTCCGGCCACTTGAACCCACCGTAGTCACCGATTCGCTAAAGATTAAGCATTATATTTGCTATTTTTATTGAAGTAGGTTCGCAAATTTGAATGCAACCTTACTTTATAGCAAGCCTTTGTTGTCGAAGAGTACAGCCACTCATTTTCACAAGGTGACACAAATTTTGTAGAGGTACAGGCTTCCTTCTTCTCAAAAAAAATTATAAGAGCGGAAAATGCTGCGTTTACGGTAGTACTAATTTTTAGATAACTTTCAGCACCTTTGCACCGCCGCAAACTACCGGAAACCAGCCTGA